CATCGGCGGAATCGAAATAAGGCTTTAACAATACTATTTTAAAACGAACTTTTCAATTAATTTGGTTACAATTTCAATTTGATGGAGGCGCTGATAAGCACGCGCGTGCCATTCAGCCTCAGGGCTATCAAAGCCACACAGGCCCTGCCTGCAACTCCACTGATAAAAAGATTTGAATATATAAATTCTAACACATTGGCTGCAATGAATTCCCCCTCAAACCAATAATGAAACATTAAATTAAAGTCTGCGTTAATTATGGTACACATTTACCGCCTATTTAGCTCAAGTTAAAGTATTTGACAATATTGAACATATTGTTTAATATATTATCTTGGATTGTGTGAAATAATGCGCATCCACAGAGAAGGCTGCGGCATCTTAAAATATAAATCTTATAATATGAAAATCCTCAGTTCAAGGTGACTTTTGGTCCAGTCGCAGGCCTGGTCCACGCAGCGCGTTATTGTTGCATGCACACATGCAAGATGAAAGTCACCACGGTGTACCTGAATGGCATTGGTGACGTTCCAGCCAGCTTCCCATGTCGTGATTTGTGGTTTATCCTCATCCAGCGAGCCCCCTGTCTTCATGGACGAGGGCCTTCGGTCGGTGCCATCTCTCTGGTAGTGACTGTCTCCGTCCAGCTCCCCTTCTCCCTCCGGGCGTCCCCCTTCCTCTTCCCCCTGAAGGACATCCATTTGCATCCCATGCCTGTAGTCGTAGTCCAAGTCGTCGCACTCGACGAAACCCACACCCTCTTCATCCGTGGCGGTCTGGAAGCCCAGCCGGGCGAACACCCCGCTGACCTTGGCCTGAGATTTGTTGGACACCGTGTGGGCCGCGTTGGTCAGCTTGTTGGTCAGCTTGTGTCGTATTAGGTGAGCCATCTTTATCCGAATAAAACACGTTCTTCAACTGAAAATTATATCACCGAGTGAAAGCAAAAGAGGCAGATGCATGCAGGGTGATTTGTTCTCCGTTTTTAACTGCTACTGTAAAGTCATGCCTGTTGCCTCTTCGATCGTCGTCGCAAAGTAAGCTACCCAGCCCTCTAACGGCTGCCAAACCGTTTCACCCAAACCCGTTAAAAATCCTCAGCCGCTTCTCTTGGCTTGCTCATCCATATTACTCCCTAAAATAAAACAGTCCTTGGCATCTGCTTCACGTGGGAAAGACGCCCCAAAACAGAGACAAAAACGAAAATATGTCCTCATGTGTCGTTAAAAAAGACAACTTAGCATTTTTTTTTGTCAGTTGGGGGTCCCTTTGGTGGCAGCAGGGGCGCTGGAATCTCTGACTGCACCACCGAAAGAGAGGAGAGAGGAGCGTGCACGTGTCCGCATAGTGTGTCAGCAGTGTGGCTCGCGCACAGCACAACTGTCACGGATGGCAGAGAGAGAGAGAGAGAGAGAGAGAGAGAGAGAGAGAGAGAGAGAGAGCGTTAATTCACCGACAGAGTGATCACGAGGATAAAACAGGTCATTTAAAGGCAGCAGGAATTGCTCTTGACATTATGCATGACTGAAGAGAACAAACATTTTACCTGCTTTCATGCTGCATTCTGTCAACAGGTCGACGGGTAATGCCATCAACGAATAGACATAGATGCATGAACTTATAAATATTCAGGCTTATTGGATGAAACTATATATATTTTTTAATTCTTACATTGATCTACAGTTGTTTTTGCAATACCTACAATTTATAGCAAATGTAATTAACACCAAATATACATATGGGCCAATAGACTATTCGTACAACAACGCAATCTCGTTTTTTTTCGTTAGACAGAATTTTAACTGTTCCGCCTGACCTGCTCAATCTTACATTTGTTAAATAAAGCACGCGGACTGCAACGTATCCTAGTGTGAGACAACGTGCGCTCACAGTCCAGAGTCGTACACACATCTCATGTGCAGTCAAAAGGCCTGATATTCCACGGGTTGCCTAATATTTTTAAGGAATGATGAAATTATGTTTTTGGAAATTATACATAGACTATTTGCCAACAGAAAATATTGTAATGCATTTTCCAATGATGTTGAATTATTTTGTTCTTACACATTCAAGTATAGCATAT